AAAATAAATAAATAAATAAATAAATAAATAAATAAATAAATAAATAAATAAATAAATAAATAAAAAGGATTCTGATTCAGTGGATCTGGGATGAGTCTTGAGATTTCTGCACTTATAACAAGTTCCAACAGCACCTACTATCAATAGTCAATTCACCACACGTAGAGTAGCAATATCTCTCTGGCTGAAAAGTAGGGGCTAGCCTGGCAGGGAACAAAACTGGACACACGAAGGAGACCAGTATGGATGCAGTAGTTGTTCTAATTGAAGGGTACATGGGGACTTCCAGTGGATGCTTTAAAAGACAAATGCCTGGATTTCAGTTCAAAGTGAATCAGAAGCTCTGGGTGTACGGGTCAGGGCTATATGCATTGTATGAAGTAGGAGGTCTATACATACCATGTTCGGGGGCAGAGAAGATGGCACAGGCTGTATTTTACTTTACATTTTGGATTTTGTTTGTTTTGTTTAGTTTTGCTATAGGACTTGTGTGCTTGCTGGAGAGAGGCAGAGAAAGAGATGGAGAGTGAGAAATCACACTGAGGAGGGATGGCCACACGCCATCCCTTCTCCATTCTTCTCTTGGATTTTGATCATATATGCACACATGCCTGGTGTGTTTTTCAAGTTGCTGGGTCTAGGACCTGAACCACTCAGTTGGCCATTTGGGATCCACTTACCTTAAATGGCAAGCTGTTTCAACCTCTGTGCCACCTACTGGCTCTAAAATTGGTTTTAATAGGACACCTTTACATTGAGTCATCCGTGGTAAACAAAAATACTAAAGTGTTTCTAATCTGGTGGATGCCACTAAAAACAAAACCAGTTTTAGAATTGATGCCTGGAGGCTTTTTACTGGCCTTTCCTACAAGCGTTTAAGCAAGCTATGTTTAAACCAATCCCATTTGTTCCATATGTGAGTTCATACCAAAGAGAGTCTATAACTTCCCAAGGATGAGATGCAATTCAAGTAAAAGTCTTCATTGGGCAATAAAATTTATTTCCAGAGAAATTGAAAAGTTGATCCTAAAACGATAATCATATGGAAATACAAGGGACCCAGATAGTGAAAAGAAATCTTGAAAAAGAACGATGTTGGAGGACTCTTATTTCCTAGTTTCATTAGATTATCAGGAAAATCATGACATATTTTCCTATGTTTTATTATATAAACATGTGTCAAGACTTTTCTGATTACCCCATAGTAAACATGCCAGGACAATTGAATAAGAAAAGAATCATCTCCCCAACAAATGGTGCTACACCTGCACACAGAAGAATGAAGTCAGTCCTTTACAAGAATTTATTTCTGGGTTTTTCTATAAGGATTTTACAGTTTTAAGTCTCAGTTAATTTTTATATGCCACTCTTGTCAAAAAATAATAGAGCATAAACAAAAGGGTTTATTTCCAGATTCTCAGTTCTACTCATTACTCTAGGTATCTATCTTTGCACTAATATCCTAATACCACACACTCTCTTCTTTTCTTTTTCCTTTTTTTCTTTCTTTTTCCTTTTCTCTTTCTTTTTTTCTTTTTTTTTTTCTTTTGGCTATACAGTGTGTGAACTTGCTGGAGAAAAAGAGAGTGAAAAGATGAAGTCTTAGAGAAAGATTTAAATGATATGAGCAAGGAAATTAATCAAATGTTGTCTACATATGTAAAGATTTTAAGCGAGAGAGTAGCAGTAGATGTTTCTTACATTGATGAGGTAGATGGACTCTTCAAAGAAGCCAAAACTATTGAAAACTTCTTGGTACAAAAAAAGAGAGCTTCTGAGACAGAGGTTAACAGTGATTGCAAACACACTACACAGATAGAATGTACAATAAAAACAAACTGAGAATTTATACTTGCTATCATTATAATGAAAGAATGACATTTATGCTTCAAAAGCTCCCTAGTTGTTAAAGAAAATGTGTATCTCAGAGTAGGGGAAACTCCTTGAATTTCTTTCCTAGATTTAAAAAGAGCTTTAAACTGTACTTCAATATCAAGTATGTAACTTTTCTTTTCAGGTCCAGATTTGGGGGCACATTTTGTAAAAGTGTCAATTATTTCAATCATATATGGAGTATTTTCTCTAAACTTCCTATCCTTTATTAAACTTCTAAAAGAGTACAGTTAATTTCAGAATGCTTAACAATATTGCAATAGTGTACTTTTTAAAAGAATATTCTTATTTAATAACAGATAACTTTGGAGGTAGTTTTAAGATTTTTTTATGATTAGTATTATAAAAGAACATTAAAACCTTAAAAGAAACTTTTCTCACCATGTAGTAAAATATAACTGCTGTTACTATTTAATATTGCCATTTGATTATTTTTACTATTGTTATATATGATTAATATAAACTTAGCTTAGAATTACTTTATTGCGGTAAAAGAAGTAAAATAAAAACCAGAAATTGCTAACTAAAAAAAAAGAAGAAAGAAAGAAAGAAAGAAAGAAAAGAAAAAGAAAGAGAGTGAAGAGAGAACATGAAAAAGTACCTCCACACTACCATACCTCCACACCTCCACACTCCACACCTCCACACTCCACACTCCACACCTCCACAGTGGAGATGGCCATACTGCAATCCCTTCAAGTTCTTGGGATTTGGGACATATACATGCACATCTTGTGTGTGTTTCAAGCCATCTGGTGCAGAACTCGAAATGCACAGGGCACAGGTGCCCATGAGGGATCTAGCCACCCTACCCACTGCAACCTGGCTGACCCACCACACAATCTTGATTGTTGTAGGTTTGCAGTAGTTTTGAAATCAGAAAGTATTAGAGAACAATAGAAACACCATGCTTCTAGAACATCACTGGATCTATGAACTCTGAGTCAGTGAGAGAATGCTTGCTCAGGGAATGTGGCCTTCCTGCTTGGAAACAACAGGAGGCCATTAGACGGGTGTGTGATCTGATAAATGTAGTTTCCAAATTCCAAGGCATTCTGTCCAATCTCTAGTGTCATTTAGTCATATCACCCTAATTGATACCAAAGCCAACCTGTTCCAGGAAATACCCTTATTTTTCTGATTCTCTAAAAAAACCCCAACTTTCTCTAAAATATAACCATCCTTCCTCCCTTGTCCTAATAAATATGGAGGATGAAAGAGATGCAGGTGCATATCTGGTATGGCCTCTCCCTCTTGACTCAGATGTCTGTGTCTCAAGGAGTTATTCCACGTACTTTAGGTGACTTTCTACCGGACAGATGAGTCACAGGAAAGTGTGAATCTGCCAATGGAGTACATACCCAAGAAAATGAAAACATATATCCACATAAAAATGTGTACACAAATGCTCACAACATTATTCAAGTAGGTAAAAAGTGGAAACATTCCAAATGTCCATCAATGATGAATGGATGGTGGGGATATTGATATAATGGAATATTGTTTACCAATAAAAATGAATGAAGTATTGATACACATGGATGAAACATAAAACATGCTAAGTGGACAAAGCCAGTCAGAGAACCCCACATATTCTGTGTTTTCACTTATGTGGAATGTGACTAGGCAAATCTGCAGAGATAGAATGTGGATAATTATTTGCTTAGGACTGGCATAAAGGTGGGAGTGGGCAGTGGCTGCTGATGACTACAGGGTTTCTTTTCAGAAGAGATGAAATGTCCTAAAATTAGATTGTGGTGTGATGATTTCACAATTCTAAAGTATTAAAAACCACTGACTGGGCCCTTTAAATGGATTCAGTTTTATAGTATGTGAATTAATCTTAATACATTTGGTTTTGGAGCCAGCGGGTAGCATAGTGGTTAAGGCACTGTATTACCATGTGGTCAGCCACAGCTCAAGTCCTGGACCTGGTGGCTTGAAACTCACATGGGGCATGTGTGCATGCATGTCCAAAATCCCTAGAGGAGAATGAAGGAGAAATTATTGCAGCATGGCCATCCCCCAGGGAACGATTTCTTGCTTTTTGTCTCTCTGTCTCTCTGGTGAGTGTACACATCCTATAACATAAACCTCTCTAAATAAATCAATAAATAAATTTGGTTTTAAAACAGAAATGGCAAGGAACCACAGACTTTCTAAAAACAAACAATAACAAAATGACACAGTTTATATGCAGAAAGTATGCACAATTCATTAGTTTATCATTGACTGTTAAATTCAGCAAAATTTTCTTTTTGTGAATCCTTATGAATATGGTTAAGTGCACATGAATTCCTGTCTTTCTAGTAGAAGTTTTTCAATTTACCAAGTAGTCAGTAAATATAATTTCTAATAAATGTGAACCATCTATAATAACTACAATAAATAAGAGGAGTAATATAAAATTACTTAATGAACCATCTATAATAAATAAGAGGAGTAATATAAAATTACTTACTGTCCTCTGTGAAATCTAAGAACTTCTGTACTGGCTCGCAGGCAGTCAACTGTCTGGAGTGTTGTGTTTGCACCATGGAAACTGACCCCTCCTTCTTTGTGAGAACCTGTCTGTCAATTTCAGCTTCACTAATTGTATGGTGGGGTGGGATTGCCCCTCTACTTCACACCAAAGCTCTTCAGCAATTCCAGTTTTCTTCTTTAGTCCAAATCTGGTGGTCCTTGGCAGGTTCTTTCACAGAGCACTTAATGTAAACAAAATTTTAACTAATATAATAGCCAATTATTGCCAGCCCACATGACACAGTGAAGGAAGTAAGCTCTCCAGTAACCACCTGTATGCAGGGGATGATTGGCCCTTTGGAGTGAAGGGACAGACTGGGTCCATCATATTCAGAACCAACTGTGAGATCTTGAGATGTTCCTTCACTTTGCAACTTCTTTTTATTTTCCACCAATAAAATGAAATACTAACATCTTTTTCTTAGGATTATTAAAAATGATCAATTAAAATAACTTCCTCGGCACAAGGTAGGTGTTATAAATAAATAAAAGAAACACCAAAAATAAATAAATAAATAAATTCTCAGGTGTAGTCCAGCCAGTGGTGGGGTAGTTAAATGGCTGGATCTGACATGACTGACTGCGGTTCAAGTCCTGACTTGGCAGCTTGAAAACTCTGGCGCAGTGCATTCATGCTCAGAATCTGGAGAGAAGAATGGAGGATCGGAGATTGCAGCATGGCAATCCCCTTTGGAGGGCGCTTTCTAACTTTCCCTCACTCTCTTTCTGTCTCTCTCTCTCTTTCTGTCTGTCTGTCTTTCTCTCTGCCTGTGCACAAGCCCTGTAGAAAATTAAAAAGAAAAAATCCCCAGGTGCTTTCTTCTTGCCTCTTTTGTTTGCTCTCTTGCTATAAGCAAGCATCTTCCAAAGTCATGATGACACTAATCAAAAAGACCGTCTTCCTCCTTTGCTTTATCTCTTCTCTCTCTTCCTCTGCACACCTCCCTGCCCCTCTTCTCTTCTCCCCTCATCTATTCTCTCTCCATCCTTCTCTCCTTACTCTCTTCCTTATATGTATTTATAAATACCTTACATCTGCCACACACTGTATTTACATCTGCCACACGCTGTACTAGACCCGATGGAGAATAAGACGCTCATTGTCCCTGTCTTCTTTGAGCTTATACTCCAGAGAAAAAGATAAATAATAAGCAAAAGAAGAAATAAATGTCCACGTGTAAACTCACAACCTGTGAAAGTTCCATGAACAAAGGGCAATGGCAGAGAACAACAGAAGAGGATTAAGGATGGCCTGAGGAGGTGACAATTGAACTAAGAACAGCATAGGAGAAGTCAGAGGAGGGGGGAGGTATCCAAATAGAGGGAGAATGACAACTTGGCTTGTGTGAGTAGCAGGAAAAAGGACTGAGGCAGCTGTTCTATGGAGTGTGGGACAAGAAGGACAAGAAAGAGGAGGAGGAGAGACAGGAGGAGGAGGGACGGAAGGAGAAGAGGAAGAAGGAAAAGAAGGAGGAGGGGGACCGGCAGTTAGCATAATGGCTAGGTCTCTGGACTCCCATGTAGTCGACCGTGGTTCGCGTCCCGGAACTGGTGGCTTAAACCTCACAACGGGTGCGTGTGCGTGCGTGCCCAAGATCCCGAGAGGAGAAAGGAGAAGAAGAGATTGCAGCGTGGCCATCCGCCCCGGGGGATGATTTCTCGCTTTCTGTCTCTCTGTCGGGCGAGTGCACGCCTTATTGCAAAAACCTCTAAAAAAAAATTAAAAAAAAAATTAAAAAATAATAAAAAGAAGGAGGAGGAAAGGAAATTGCAAAAATTCAAAATGTGTGCGTGCGTGCCCAAGATCCCGAGAGGAGAAAGGAGAAGAAGAGATTGCGGCGTGGCCATCCGCCCCGGGGGATGATTTCTCGCTTTCTGTCTCTCTGTCTGTCGGGCGAGTGCACGCCTTATTGCAAAAACCTCTAAAAAAAAAATTTTTTTAAAAAATAAAAAAATAATAAAAAGAAGGAGGAGGAAAGGAAATTGCAAAAATTCAAAATATCATAGTATATCTTTATTGAAAAAATTAAAAATCTGACATAAATAACACACAAAGCCATATAAAAATAAGGCCAAAATAAATCCTGAACTTATAAAAGTATTCTTTATGCACTACAATTGGTGGGACTGCTAAGGGGATACTCACTTTGGATGTTAACTATTTTTTCGTACTGTCGGTATTAATTTGAGACTGCATGAAAGGCAAAAATCTATACTTGGGGTCTCTCGCATACCCTGTTGAAGAACACAGAGGCCACCTGGAGTATTTATCTGTGGGCTAGCCATCCATTCTTGGCCACACTGGGTCAAGCACCAGTAATAACATCCATGAAGCCTTTTCTCCATAGAATCACTGAGAAGGTGAGAGTCAGTCTCCATTTGTGGCTTTTGGGTCATTGGATCCCCACTATCTGTATCCATTTTGCAGGAGCTTTCACAGGGCCACCTAGTCAGGGAGGAAGCCGTTGGCTGGTATCTTGGACCATCCCTGGGATCAGACTAGAGAAGAGGGAGGTGCGGATAGCATCGCTGCTGTGTCAGCACCAGCTGGCAGTATGTGCCAATCAGTCATGTGGCTTATGTGATCTCATTCTGGGGAGTTAGGAGTTCCGAGTGAGCCGTTTTCTCTCTAAAGTGTTCTTTTTCTATTAGAGACCACTTCATAGACAAAGCTATGCTTCTCTCCACCCTCGCTGGGTGCCACACTGCCTGAATTGCTTATTGAATGGGACTTATATAAGGGCTCCGTGTTCCGTCTTGCTATCTCGCATCCCTTCCACCTAGCATCCCTTCTCCAAATATCTCATCGTTTCTAGCCTCTCCTATGATCCTGCCATTTCTGACTCAACGCATTGAGGGGGGCCCTTTGGGGAATACACTCATGAATATTTCTTGAGGATCTGATTATACCGGTAGGAAAAGCCAAATTTCTCTTAAAAGAGTTATTAATCTAATTGTGAGGGCAAGATACTGCACAAATAAAATACAATTGATACTGTTAAATGCCCTATGAGAGGCAGCAAAGCACCTTAAGATGTAGCAATTAGGAATTAGGGGGTGTGCTGGACAACTTCCACTTGTCTTGTCAAAACCACTGTCCACTATTCGCCACCCTGGGGAGCTAGCCAATATGGACAGCATCTGTGGCTTCATTGCCAGTGGCTTTCCCCTTGGCCCCGGCCGGCTTCTGGAGGAG